AGGAGGCAGAGGCAGGTGGATCTCTGTGAGTTCAAGGCCAGCTGGGGCTACAGGGAGACCCTGTCTCAAAAAGACCACAAAAAAAAAAAAAAGTTTAAAGATTGTATTACCTTCAGTGGGCTAGTGATGTGGCTCCACAGGAGAGCACTTGCCTAGCATGTTCCCCCCCAAAAAGATTGAGAACCTCCTTCAGACAGGTGGATTTTTATTGTTTGTTTTGTTATTTGGAGTTTTTTAAATTAAAGTTACTTATTTTTGTGTGTGTATGTGTCTGTGCACACGTGGAGGTCAGAGGACAGTGTGAGGGAGTTCATTCTCTTCTACCTGGTGGGTTCTGGAGATCAAACTCAGGATGCCAGGGTTGGCAGCAGACACCCAGGGTCTCTCTCTGTAGCCTAGACTGTCCTGAAACTCACTGTGTAGCCAACACTGGCCTTGAACTTGTGTTCATCCTCCTGCCTTAGCCTCTTGAGCATTGGGATTATAGCTGAGGGGCCACCATGCCAAAGTTTTCCTTACTTTTAGGCTGACTTTTTTTTTAAAACTCAGTCTTCCGTGTATCCTAGCCCACTTGGAATGTGCTCTTTAGCCCAAGCTGGCCTTCAACCTCCCATCCTCCTGCCTCTGCCTCTTGAGTGCTGGGATTACAGGTGTGCACCTTGGCATGCCTGACTCAGGTTTGCACTTTAAGTTTATTTGACAGCAGATAAGTGTCCCGCTTAACTGTACTACTTTTCGTTTAGGACAACATAGGAGAGCTGGATCTTGACAAACAGTCGGAACTTAGAGCCTTGCGGAAAAAGGAGCTTGATGAAGAAGAAAGCATGAGGAAAAAAGCTGTGCAGTTTGGGACTGGGGAACTGTGCGATGCCATCTCTGCAGTTGAGGAGAAAGTGAGATACTTGAGACCTCTAGATTTTGAAGAAGCCAGGGAACTTTTCTTGCTGGGTCAACACTACGTGTTTGAGGCAAAAGAGTTCTTCCAGATTGATGGGTATGTCACTGACCATATTGAAGTTGTCCAAGACCACAGTGCTCTGTTCAAGGTGCTCGCCTTCTTTGAGAGCGACATGGAGAGACGGTGTAAGATGCACAAACGCAGAATAGCCATGCTAGAGCCCCTCATTGTGGACCTGAATCCACAGTATTATCTGTTGGTCAACAGGCAGATTCAGTTTGAAATTGCACACGCTTACTATGACATGATGGATTTGAAGGTTGCCATTGCCAACAAGCTCAGGGATCCCGATTCACACATTGTGAAAAAGATAAATAGCCTGAATAAGTCAGCGCTGAAATACTACCAGCTCTTCCTAGACTCCCTGAGGGACCCAAATAAAGTGTTCCCTGAGCATATCGGGGAAGACGTCCTCCGCCCCGCCATGCTAGCTAAGTTCCGAGTAGCCCGTCTTTATGGCAAAATCATCACTGCAGATCCCAAGAAAGAGCTAGAAAATTTGGCAACATCGTTGGAACATTACAGATTTATTGTTGAGTACTGTGAGGCTCACCCCAAGGCTGCCCAGGAAATGGAAGTTGAGTTAGAGCTTAGTAAAGAGATGGTCAGTTTGCTCCCAGCAAAAATGGAGAGATTCAGGACAAAGATGGCCCTGACTTAACCCTTGTTTTAGAAGAAAGGAGAGATGTAAGACTGAAGCAGTTCCCCTGTTCCACTAGTCAGCCAGGCCCTGTGCCCTTGTGACCGGCACATCCAGAGCCTCAGATGCAGTGAGGTACCCAAGTCCCTGCTAGGACCTTAAGCAAAGTGAAATCAATAATTTATACTTAATTATATAAGTTGCCTTGCTAAAGTGACATGTTCTGCATTTTAGATTGCTAGTTTTCCCATTCAAATATAAACATCTGCCTTGGATTCTAAATGTAGGTCCTCTGTTGACTAGTGTTAGTAGGTTTCATACTAGGGAAAATGCTGGGTAGTGCACCTGGAGAAGAGCCTGTTACTGTGTTGGCCTTTGAGAGTTACTTCCTGTAGTCATTCTTTGTAAAATACTTCCCAAAATTCCCAAAGCAATCTTTCCCTTTTAAAAATAATAACTAAGTAAATTCAAAGTGTTGTAAAATAGTTTATTTCAATTATAGGGAGTCAAGGCCTTGCAAAGAAAATAAACTGACTTGTTTCAGCTAATAAAATTTCTATTAACCACTTTTGTTTTCTTATAAAAACTGGTCTTTAAAAAAAATTTTTTTTTTTTTTTGTCTTTTTGAGACAGGGTCTCCCTGTAGTCCCAGCTGACCTGAACTCACTATGTAGACCAGGCTGGCCTTGAACTCACAAGGATCCGCCTGCCTCTGCCTCCCAAGTGCTGGGATTGAAGGCATGTACCACCACGCCCGGCTAAAAATATTTTTTATTATTATTGTATGTGTAGGAATGTATTGCCTGCATGTATGTAAGTGCACGTGTGTCATGCCCTTGGAGGTCAAAAGGGGGCGTTGTGAATTCCCCTGGAACTGGAGTTACAGACAGTGTTAACTGCCATGTGGGTGCTGAGAATTGAACCTGGGTCCTTTGGAAGAGCAGTAAACACTCTTAACCACTGAGCCATTTCCTTATTTTTAATACTGCAAAACTAGAAAAGAGTTGTTTTTGTTTTTTTCTTTTTGAGACAGGGTCTCACTATGTAGATCTGGTTGGTCAGCCTTGGCCAGCCAAGGCTACATAGTGATTAAAAAAAAAAAAAAAAAAAATGGGGTAGGACCTGGAGAGATGGCTCAGTGATTAACAGCACTGGCTGCTTGTAGAGACCTGGGTTTGGTTCCCAGTCCCCAAGTGGTATCTAACAATTGGTAAATCCAACACCTTCCTCGAGCATTGCATGCACTGGTGCAGTTTACATACATGCATGCAAAACACTCACACACATAAAAAAAAAATAAATAGAAAGAAAGAAAGAAAGAAAGAAAGAAAGAAAGAAAGAAAGAAAGAGATTCCCAGCACCCATGTGGCGGCTTTCAACCATCCATAACTCCAGTTCCAGAGGATCTGACTTCCTCTTCTGGTTTCTGTGGGTATTGCATGCATAGGTGCATAAAACACTCATACACATTTAATAAATAATTGTTTTAAGCACAATTCCAAGCTGGGGATGTGATTAGTGGTAGATTGCTTGTGTTGTACCTGAAACAACACAAAGGGAGGGAGGGGATCTGTGCACAGTCAAGATCAGTTACAAGATTTAATGTAGATTGAGCTGGAGAGATGGCTCAGTGATTAAGAGCACTGGCTGCTTTTGCAGAGGACCCAGGTTCAAATCCCAGCATTCATATGGTGGTTAATAACCATCTGAAACTCCAGTTCCAGGGGAATTCAGTGGCCTTTTTTGACCTCTGTGGGCATTGCATGACACAGGCACACCTCTATA